TCCAGGATACGAAAATTAGAAATGGTTGTGATATAAAATAAGTTGGTTTAAAATTTTTGTGGTTCTGATATCCTGGACTATTATTCGCCGCTGTATGAAAAAATTGTAAATTCTACACAGGTATGTGACAAATATTATAAAACATTTTGCACTCGCTTTTTTTTCATAGCCACCTACTCATTTGGTCCACAGCTTTTATATTCAATAAATACTGCTGAATATTGGTGAATGTTCAATGTTGGTAAAAATTGAATCTAGTGTGTGACGAAACACTGTATCAGCAACAAGGCAAATATGAAAATTTATGATATGGACAATGTTGCCAGATATTCACAAGTTCAATCGATGAAAAGTCTACTGAGAAACAAGAATTTATCAGAATGTTGGGCTAAGACTAGAAATATCTCATGAGTTGTATATTTTTGAAAAGCGAAAAGCATCAATGTTTCAAATGAGGAAAAATATACGTGATGTTCCATTTGAAAAAACATAACTTTGGATTGATTATATCTGAATAATAACAGCTTATTCTGAAATTCTGATAACGCCACTGGATTCTACGTGAAAAAATGTATGACAAACACTTTCGACTTTTTCGATGAATTGGAAGATGGTTGAGATACAAGAAGGGTCCCGAAATGCAGCATTTTCAATTTTGCCCTGTATCTCAAAAAGGCAGCGGGCTACAAAAACTTGGTTAAGGGTATCGTGAGTTTCACTAGAAAGAAGCTCACGTTTGCGAAAATGGAACATCTCTATTTTAGAAAATAAATGAGATACCTATCCCGTTATGACATCGAAAATGGGACAGCCTGTACAGGGTATTCACGAATATTTCGAACCCCTACTCAACTTTTTTATGTATTGTCAATTTTATTCATCCAAGAAACTTTCTTCAATACTCTTCCTTTAAATTTGCAAATTTTATATATGCCAATGAAAAAACTGACTATTTTTTTTAAAGTTCAACTGTTTTTCTGTTGGTTTATACAGAACAAATATGAGAGATCGTTCTTGGAAACAAAATCGAATGATACATGAAAAAATAAGCAGGGGTTCAGTACAAAATACTGAAGAACTGTCAATAGTATCTCTTTATGAATAGATATGTTGTACTCATTTCAAACTAATCAATGCCACGCTGTTTCAATTAAGACTTTCAATTAGGAACTGATGATAAGTGTATATGCACAACAGAGTTATACATCAGGAATTGATCATGAATATACCTGCAGAACGCATTTCAAACTCATAAATGCCACTGTAGTACAATGAGAAACTCTGATCAGGAACTGATTATGAATGTATCTGCAGAACACAGTTCATACTCATAGAGTTAATATGGAATTTCTATGAGGAACTGATTATGAAAGTATCTGCAATAAACATTTCAAACTCATAAATGCCACTGCATTCCGATAAGGAGTTCTGATCAGGAACTGATTATAAATCTATCTGCAAATCAGAGTTCATATGGAATCGCTATGATGAACCCATTATGAATGCATGTATCTACAATACACATTTTGAACTCATAAATACCACGGTATTATAGTGATAAATTCCGATTAGTGACTGATTATGAAATGTATCTGCAAAACAGAATTCATACTCGTAGATTCCATATGACTGTGCTATAATAAGCTATCTATGAATGTATCTGCAATACACACTTTGAACTCATAAATGCCAAGGTATTTGAAAAAAATCCCGATCAGGGACTAATTATAATTAATGTATCTGCAAAACAGCGTTTATTGTCATAACCTTCGAAAGAAATTGCTATTAGGAACTGATTATAAATGTATCTGTGAAACACAGATTATACTCATAGAGTACGTGAAAAACTGCCAATAGGAACTCATTATGATTGTTCCTGTGAAACACATTTCAAACTGATAAATGCCACGGTAATTCAATGAGGAATTCCAATAAGGAACTGATGATAAGTGTATCTGCAAAACAGAGTTATACTCTAAGTGTTCCTGAGGAATTGCTATCAGGTATTGATTATGAATGTACCAGCAGGATACATTTCGAACTCATGAATGCCACTGTGCTCCAATAAGGAATTCCGATTAGGAATTGATCATGGATGTTTCTGCAAGACAGAGTTTATACTAATAGAGTTCATACGGAATTGATATAAGAAACTCATTCTGAATGTATCTACAACACACATTTCAAACTCATAAATGCCACGGTATTTCAATAAAAAATTATAATAAGGAACTGATTGTGAATGTATCTGCAAATCAGTTTATACTCAAGAATTCCCATTATAGATGTATCTGCAATACACATTTTCAACTCATGAATGCCACGGTATTTCAATGAGAAATTCCAATCAGGAACTGATTATACATGTATCAGCAGAACAGAGTGCATACTCAAAGACTTCGAAAAGAATCGCTATTAAGAACTGATTATAAATGTATCTGTGAAACACAGCTGATACTCATTGAGTACATGAAGAACTGTCAATAGAAACCCATCATGGATGTACCTGTCAAACACATTTCGAACTGATAAATGCTACGGTGTTCCAATGGGGAATTCCAATTAGGAACTGATGATGTTTGCTATAAGGGACTCATTATGAATGTATCTGCAATACACATTTCAAACTCGCAAATGCCACGTCAATTCGATAAGAAATTGCAATTAGGGACTGATTTCAAATGTATCTGCAAAACTTCATACTCATGGACTTGCTATTAGAAACTCATCATGAATGTATATGCAGAACACATTCCATTCTCATGAATGCCACAGTGTTTCAATGAGGAATTGCCATCAGAATCTGATTATAAATGTATCTGTAAAACATAGTTCATACTCAAAGACTTCGTTGGAAATTGCTATTAGGAACCGGTCATGAATGTACATGCAGAACACATTTCAAAATCATGAATTACGATGTTTTAATAAGGAATTGCCATTTAGAACCGATTATGAATGTATCTGTGAATTACAGTTCAAACTCATCGACTCCATTGAGGATTGCCATTAGGAACTGATTATAAATGTAACTGCAGAATACATTTCGAGCTTATAAATTACTGTTTCACTATCCAACTTGACTCTGATATATCCTCATATGTAAATAACCAGGAATTACTAGTAGGAACTGATTATGAATATATCTGCGAAAAACAGTTCATACTTATAAGAAAAAGGGAGAGAATCGCCATTAGAAACTGATTATATATGTATCTGCAAAATACATAGGATTATACGGAATTACTGTTTCACTATCCAACTTCATTCTCATTAATTCTCATATATATTTTTTTATTAGTTTCTATGAGACATTTTTGGCAGGGATTCTACAACGTGTTACTCGGTACATACAGGCGTAGTTATCTGAGCAGAAACACGGTTTCCTGTGAGAACCTGCTGACTATAACATCAGCAGAAATCCGACTTCAGAGAAATAATGAGATGCCTTGAGAAACGCAATTCAGAATACACATGATCTTGGTTGAGTAAAGACGTATATTTTTACATGGTAAAACTGATTGAATAAATAATTTCTTGTCTTCCGAAATAGGAAGTGCTTTTTGAAGAAGACTTTTCGGGAAAGTAACAAAATAAGGGAGTAGACAGAGAATGTGCAAGAAAATTCATAGGGTGCAGGTCGAGGTGCAGGTACTCATTTTATTTTCGACATCTAGTACATGGTCCAGTGACAACGAACGTGAACCACTGATACTTCAGTTACCTAGTGGGATAATATGTCTAAAAATGTGAATTGAACTATGAACAACCGCTGAATTTTGTTTCTCTATATCTTCAATAATGAAAATCAGCTATGAATCAACTGTAAAAACATGATAGCATATATACATATTATTAGCTACTAAGGAAACAAATTCAACAGTGGTGAACTATTGAGGTCTAATTGATCGTAAAGTAACCTGTCAGAATTTCCGAGTTTGTATATATTCCTAATAATTCGAAATGATTGAGTTTCCTTCCTTCATTTTCCACGTGTAGAATTTCGAAATTATCATCAAAACTATGGTTTTCTTTTAAAAAAAATTCATCTCATGTTGATGAATGCGCTGATTAAACGTACGACCTGTCTGACCGATATATACCTTAGGGCTAGATCCACAGTTGAGTTTTTATACCCCTGATTTTTCGAATTTAGAAATTTTGTCTTTATTATTCTTGATGAACCTTCCCAACGTGTTGTTTATTATATATGCTACTTTTAAGTCCTGTTGATGTAGAAATGAAGCTAATTTTTCAGTTGTTGATCCGGAATAAGTTAAGGTTTCATTATTATTTTTGATGATAGGGTAAACTTCTTGAATAGCTTTATTATGGAGTTTCTCAGGAAGAGTACTGATGTCTATCAAATAAACGTTGTATCCGTTGTTGACTGCAATCTGAAGAAATTCAACATACGCCAACCATATATTAGAAGAAAAACATAGTTTTGATGATAATTCCAAAATTTTACACGTAAATAAATGAATAAAACTCAAATATTTTGGATCATTGAATACCAACAAACTCAGAATTCTAACATTTTTCTCAACGATCAACTAGACCTCAATAGTTCACCACAGTTGAATTTGTTTTCTTAGTAAATAATACGTATTTGCTATCAACCCTCTCAATTCAATCCGTTAGACCATATTTTGATGTAGACATTCTGCCTTTTTTCCGGAAATGAAGGGTTATCGAACCTTTCCACCGGTAATTCTGATCCTTTAGGTTGGGGAAAAAGGATATATATAAGTTTAGGCAAGCCGAGGTTAGCTCATTTCATTGTACTAGTATTTCACTTGATGAAGCTACTGTGTAAGCGTAAGCGAAACATGTCGTGTGCTCAAGAATTTTGTGGAAATTTTATCGTTTGTGAAGTTCTTAAATTCGCTATGGATTTTCATCAAGTAACGGCCGAGTCAATTCAAAATATAAATCAACTACCTGAAATATCACAAAAATCCTGACAGTATTTTAGTAACTAGAATGAACATACTTACAGGGTAGAGTCTGTCTCGTTCAGTATAGATGGAGCGAATCTAATCAAATATTTGACTATGTCATTATGACCATAACGGGCAGCATGGTGGAGCATTGTTTGGCCAGCCGCATCTTTTGTTAGAAGGGAATATCCGTGGTTGTGTAACTCTTTGACCTTGAAGGGATGATAAAAAATTGTATTTACAATTTTATTTGTGCAATTTGTGTTATTTTTCACTTTTCACAAACAATAACTTTGTAATTTATTGTCCAATTCGTTGAATTGACAACGAAATGTAATGACTCATGAAATTCTATGAGGTGGCACTAATACTAATTTCTTCATAAACTTGTGTCGAACAAATTGAAAAAATATCATTTGCAATGGTTTCTGACAATAACTTTTTCTTCTAAATTTAATTATGAAAAGATATTTTGCCAACATTACATCTCTTGGCATTGCCTAGAATTGAGTTGAAACACTCACCATTCATTGATCAAATTTCACTAACATTCTGACCTTAAGTAATCTATTGAATTCCAATTTAATCATTACAATTAGTCATTACATTAACATTAATTGTAGTTAAACACTGACTTATTACACACTGCGTGTAAACAGTTCTAACATCATTTAGGTAATTATATGCATGGTTTTCAAAATGTATAGTTTGATATTTTTGTTCTGTCCTATCCTAATTCTTCTCAGTTAACTCTGAGTGGCGCACATAGTTTGCTTTACAGATAACATCTTGTGGAAAAACAAATAGAAAATAATTTTCTCAAGATCCCACGACCGCTCTACGACTATAAAGGCCACCGTGCATTGAGGCTTTAATTTCTTTTTGTGAAGTTACGCCACAAAAGCATGCAGAAAAATGGTAAAAAAACAGGATGTGATCCGAAAATCCGTGAGAAATATTACAAAAAGAACAAGAAAATGTTTGGTTCAAAATGGAGGAGACTTTAGGCAACAGATGATTCAAGTTTTAAGATTCAAGTTGATAAGCTAGCATATGAATATGATCTATTTTCGTTAACCCGGACCTGGATTTTCATCGGGACTGATAGGTGAGTCGCCTAGGTAGGAGAAGAAGGACTTGTGTACCGAATTCTGGGAGAATATACTGGGTGGTACGTGATAATGCTTGTTATTAGATTGGAAACATCCAAAACATTCCATATTTATCTATCCAAATGCATGAAACCTCAAATTCAAGAACAGATATTCTAAAGTGTAATACCATGCGAGAGATTAAGAAGTAAACCATTCGATTCAGTTTTTTGTGAACTTTCCAAATATGTTTTTGGAAATTCGAAAACACAGGGTGTTCTCTTAGGGGTTCAGGAATATGATTAATTTTCGTTAATCCGTATCTGAATCTTGCTCGTGAATAATAGGTGAGTCGTTTGGGTAGAATGAGAAAGAACTGTATACCTAATTCCAAAAGATTATACTGAGTGGTTCGTGAGTTATGTCGTCACAAAGAATTGAACAAAATTGATGAAACTCCCTATGTCTCGGAAAAAAAAACTTGTAAGACTTTACGGTATGTTCAGAAACACCTTGAGAAGCTCTACTCACTAGGGCTGGGCAAATATATCGATATATCGAATAACGATATCATGAAAAAAAAAACGATATATCGATATATCGATATACCGATACATATCAATATATCGATATACAAATACAATAATGCAAATTTCATGGTACACTATTGTTAACTCGGAAACGGAGAGAGATGCGAACTACGTTAAATTACGAAAAAAATGCACAATTTCATAACCATTTCAACTATCAAAAGAAATCGAGGACATCCCTCTTATTTCCTGAAATATCCTGAAAAAACTGATCATAATCAATAACTTTTGAACTGTTTTTACTAGAGTTTTGAAATTTGGTACACTTACTGAAGGTCGCATGGCGAATTCAACGGTGATATGAAAAAAATTCTAGGCACACTAGATTCGAAGATATTGAAGCAAATTTTGATTTTTCTAATGGTCGCCATATTGGATTTTTGCACCATCCGATAGATCAAAAAATTACCAATTCATCGATGTATCACACTTCCATGTTTGATGATGGAATGACGAAAATACAGGAAAAATAGAAAATTAATAATTAAGTTAACGTATAAGATCTGCTATCAAGCTTACAATTTCAGAAATTTTCATTAAACATAAAAATAATAATATTGACCTCAATTTCTGAGGTTTTCGAAGTGACCCCCTCCATTTTCAAGACAAAGTGCAGCTCGACTGCAAATGTCATTTGCTGCTCTCCGTATGGTTGCTTCCGGTATTGAATTAATTGTTTGTACAATTTGTTCTCGCAAATCTGCAGCGTGTCCTATTGTTCTGGCATAAACTGTATTTTTCAAATATCCCCATAGGTAATAGTCTAACGGATTTAGATCCGGAGATCTAGCGGGCCAGCGTACTGGACCGTTAGTGCCAATCCACTTCCGTGGAAACATTTGATGCAATGTCTGGGTAACCAATGCTGCATTGTGAGCAGGAGCACCGTCTTGCTGAAACCACATTTGGTGGATCTGATTAATGGGAAATCCATCCAATGAGGGTTCAACACTATCTCTCAACAGGTTCCTATAGTTTTCTCCGTTCAGGCGATCTTCAAGAAAAAATGGACCCAGAATTCGACCATTGAAGATGCTACACCAGACATTAACCGAGAATCTTATTTGATGACGTGATTCTTTCTTGAGCTTTGGATTCTCTGTGGACCAATAATGCTCATTGTGACGATTGAAAAGGCCATTATTTGTAAAAAGGCACTCATCTGACCACAGCACTTTCATTGGAAAATTTACATCATTGTTCACCCTATTCTGTAACCATTCACAAAAAAAGGATCGCCTGGCAAAATCTTCTCGACTGATTCCTTGTACTACATGATAATGATAAGGGTGGAATTTTTGCTTTTTGAGTATTCTACTAGCTGTAGATTGATGGACATTACACTGCCTTGCAATAGCATAAGTTGATATGTTTGGATTAATGTGCACTTGTGCTAGGATATTTATAACGTTAAGATTCAACCCTCTTCTCATTCCATACCTAGGTGAATCAGAAAGTTATTTATGGAAGAATACAAAAATGTTAATACATATCTCACCTTGAACGCCTTGTTGCAAAAGTTCCATCTAGTCTGATCTTCTGTGCAATCCTTTGGAAATAATTTCGCGAAGGCTGAATTCGTTCACTAGCTCGCGTCGAATTTCGAAAGCAGCGAATGTAAACATCATACATATCACTCCTTTCTTCAATGCTGTAAACATTCACCATCTCAATTTGGTTTCAGTAGAGATGTGAACAATTATAATTTTCAAATTCTCAGAATGACAGATGAATTTTTAATGTTCTAATATCCAGAACTGAAAACTGGACATTGTGACAGCCGCCTCCTTGACATTGATGAACTGGCTGGCACGTGTCGAATCCCGTAAACAGCGATGTACAGGATGTTTCTCAAGTATGTGTAGATAATTCAGGAGCAGATTGTGATACGAAGCTCAAGAAAGAATCATGCCATCAAAATATTATCGGTTAATAGGTGATACGGCATCTCCAATAAACGAATTATGGGTCCATTTTTTCTTAAAGATTGCCTGGACAGAGAAAACTATGAGTTTCTTTTCAACCGAAATCACCAAATGTGGTTTTAACAAGATGGCGCTCCTGCCCACAATGCTGCATTTGGTTTCCCAGATGTTGCGTCAAATGTTGAACAAAGATGGATTGGTCCAGACGGTCCTGAGCGCTGGCTTGGCCTGCTAGATCTCCGGACCTGAATCCATTGAACTAGATCCTATGAAGATATTTGAAAAATACAGCTTATTGCAGAACAATCAGAGACGCTGCAGATTTACGAGAACAAATCGTATAAACAATCGATTCAGTACAAGAGGCAACCATACGAGCAACAAATTACATTATTTGCAGTCGAGTATCACGTCGAGCACCTCAGATATTGAGTTTCATATTGTTTTCTTGACTTTCAGTGAAAATATCTGGAATAGTAAGCCTAATAGCAGATCTTATACGTTAACTTAATTATTAATTTTTTATTTTTCCTGTATTTTCGTCATTCCATCATCAAACATGGAAGTGTGATACATCGATGAATTGGTAATTTTTTGATCTATCGGATGGTGCAAAAATCCAATATGGTGACCATTAGAAAAATCAAAATTTGCTTCAATATCTTCGAATCTAGTGTGCCTAGAATTTTTTTCATATCACCGTTGAATTCGCCATGCGACCTTCGGTAAGTGTATCAAATTTCAAAACTCTAGTAAAAACAGTTCAAAAGTTATTGATTATAATAAAAATCGACTATTCTCAGTTTTTTCAGGATATTTCAGGAAATAAGAGGGATGTCCTCGATTTCTTTTGATATTTGAAATGGTCATGAAATTGTGCATTTTTTTCGTAATTTAACGTAGTTCGCATCTCTCTCCGTTTCCGAGTTAACAATAGTGTACCATGAAATTTGCATTACCCTGTATATCGATACATATCGATACCAAAGCATACATCGATATCAATATCCAGTTTTCAATATCACACAGCACTAATTTCTACCAAAGGGCAGAAGTTAGCTTTTGTCTGATCCCCTGATCAGTCTTATCCCTAAAGGAACAGACGAGTGCTTTTTTCCTCACCTTAACTAGGAAAATACAAGAATCAGAAAAAAATGAGAAAAACATACTATGCAGTGCACATTTTGGTACGACTTCTAGAAAACGTTCACAGAATAATACTGCTATTTCCTCGAAGTTCCTATAGGCTCACATTCTATAGAACTTGAAGTCAAGCTCAAAGTGAATCGTTATATAGACTTCAAACCCTGATTTTGATATTTGAGATGAAGTACTATATGTTGAGCACATCAACAATGAAGTTTCGTTACTTATCGTTACACAATATATTATATCTATCGATATGTATCGATATGTATTGATATGTATCGATATATATCGATATGTATCGATATGTATCGATATGTATCGATATGTATCGATATGTCTCGATATATCGATATATCGATGAATATCGATATATCGATGAATATCGATATCAAAGCAATGTATACCGTGTATTAAGAAATCTGAAGCAGTTACTCAATTTGCCTATTGAATGTGAAAGCACAAAAATTCGAACAAAAAAGTATAAAAATTGGAAATTGGAACTCAATTTGCCTCATACCAGAAGTAATAAAAATTGATAGTCTACATATCGATGAAAATAACTTACTGTTCGAAGATCCCCAATTTTAGCTGCTTTGAGAAGACAATCATTCGGCCTTTCTTCCATATAACTGCAAAACATGGAAATTGTAAGTAGTATAGCAATACATTGTATCTATCGAATATTGATAGGTATACGGAACGACTCATTTCAGCTTCCAGATGAATGATATTGATTCGAAAATTAAATGAAAAAACCTCGACATTTCAGGGCATGATATGATTTTTTCACTTTCGGAACCGTAAGACAAAACCGAATTGATGAATTGATGAATTGATGAATTGATGAATTGATGAATTGATGAATTGATGAATTGATGAATTGATGAATTGATGGATTGATGAATTGATGAATTGATGAATTGATGAATTGATGAATTGATGAATTGATGAATTGATGAATTGATGAATTGATGAATTGATGAATTGATGAATTGATGAATTGATGAATTGATGAATTGATGAATTGATGAATTGATGAATTGATGAATTGATGAATTGATGAATTGATGAATTGATGAATTGATGAATTGATGAATTGATGAATTGATGAATTGATGAATTGATGAATTGATGAATTGATGAATTGATGAATTGATGAATTGATGAATTGATGAATTGATGAATTGATGAATTAATTTGAAAATTTTGATACTCTTCAAGATGATATTACAGCTGAAGAAAAAATTTTTCATTTCTCATAATATTTCCACAAGAAATTGATACGACACAAACATGAAAATCTTACCTAAAGGCATTGTACGACTCCTGATTCAAACCAAACAATCGCTCAGTGATGCTGCATGCACAGTCCTTATTAGTGTGAGAATATAATCAAAAACATTTCAAGGTTGTTCATGAAGGATATATCATAACCAAAATTTCATTCCAGAACAGTGTGTTTCAGAAAGAGCAGTTATTATTTGATTGTAGTCATTCTCTTCATAAAAAAAAACACTAATTTGTACTTAAATGTTTGTAGTCCAATTTTTTTAATCATCTCATGCTGGGTGAAACATCATCATTTCGTGAAAAAGGAGAACATGTGTGAGCATATAATCAAAAACTTTCCAAAGTAGGTTGTGGAGAGCATGTCATAACCCACATTTTATTCCAGACTATAGCTTCAAAACACAGGGTGTTTCAGAAGGAGCAGTTATTATCAGATTAAAATCATTGTCATCTTAAAAAAAAACACTAATTTGTACCTGAATGTTTGAACTTCAAGTCTTTGAATCATCTAATGCTGGATGGAATATTATCATTTTGTGAAAAAGCAATACAGTGATGATTTATCTGCTGAAAATTATAAAAATGATATCTGATGTAGGATGATCATCGAGACAAACTGACAACCTTCATTGAAATGCTATATATATAGTACTAGCGGCTTCCACCATTGTTGCAACATTGACAACTCTGGAAATATTACATAATATAGGGTGTTCAATTACGAATTGCGAATATTCCAGGTATAAAATCCTGAGCTCACAATATGAAAATCTAACCTGTCTGTTGATAGATTTGAAAATGTCAAATACCGTCTGTGGGTTAATCGAGGAGGTGGTACATTCATTTCACTTGAATATTTGGGATTTTCTGTACTAGTTTCTATCAAATGAAAATATGAGTATTATTTCAATAAATGTGTCCAGAGGTAGTAGAAAAGCGATAAATTTCTCAATATATTAATATTTCTTATCTTCAAATATTTTTCCAAACAAAGTGTCACTGAAAAACTATTGAATTTTTCTTTTAGGCTCCCTGATAGAAAAAATCGCTAAGCGCAGTTACATTTTGAGACAAATCATCTGATTTGTCCTGCAACACATATATCGAAATAATACTCATATTTTCATTTTATAGAAACGAGGAGAAAAAATCCCAAATAATCAAGTGAAATGTATAAAATCTCACTTTTTTTATTGATTCCTTTTTTTCCAGGTGATTCAGCTTTTAAGGTACGAACTGAAATGGTTGATAAATCTCATCATTCAGAGAGTGTGTATAAATATGTGTCCAATCTCGATCAGTAGCGGAGGAACAGGGGTTCAAAAACTATTTTTTTATCAATTGAAATATCTCGCTCACTTCTGAAGATATAAGATTTGAAATTTGGTGTGGTCAATACTCTTTAGATGATCATCATATATGAAGTACTTCAAAGATTTACACAGGGTGATACGTTTTCGTGGGTATAGAGGCTTCTGTATTCCTCCCAAACTTTTTTGTTCTACGCCTCTGACATCCTCCATTCACCAAATAGGGTGGATCGTTCAATTTCAAGACTTTATCTGCATCTCAATTTGCGAGAAACGCGCCCTTTTCGAGATAAATAATCTGATTGTTGTAATTACATATTAATTTTGCCTATTATGATTCGCTTGATGCAAAAAATGTACCAAATTCAAATCTAAATCAGTAGCGGGGATACAATAAAGGGTAGAAGGTCAGGCTGCCGACCAATCCAACGACCACGCGGAAAATTCGTGTTAAGCCACTAGTTGAGCCCCATCCACTTGTATCCATATAACCCATTTTAGTTCGTACCTGAAAACCTGAATCACCCTGTATATCAAATTGTTTCATGTTCATAATGATATATCTGAGTATATTCCATTTGATATTCTTTCATGTGGTTTGAGAATGAGACTTTCCCTTTGAAAGTGTCCAATTTGGCACACCCTGTACAAAATTCTCAGTGCAGTCGTCTTCAGAGAACATGTCGCACATGGACGGTGTCAGCTCTCTTAATCACCGCTGCAATAGAGCGCTGATACCGTCCAATTGCGACATGTTCACTGAAGACGAGTGTACCTACCTATCATTTTCACCTTATTCCCATCTAATTCTGGTGAGTTCTGGCCATAAACAGTGAGGACGTAAAAAGTCCTCTTTAACTTTTGAGCGGAACAAGCTAGCGAAGTCAAGTAAGATTCAGGTAAAAAGGTAAAGTTTATCGAAAAACAATTGCAGAATCTTGTGCCGCATCTGCAGTCACTTTGAAAGAAACTTCAGAAACGCCGACGCCGCACAGTGCGGGATATTCTGCAATTGATATTGGATATACTTTACCTCTTTTACTACTATTTGGCATCAAAATGGTTGTGGTCACGTGACCTAATGTCACGTGGGTGCCTTCAACGTTTTTTTCTCAAATATAAAAAACGATCACGTGGTACTTTGTTTTGCAGGTCTTTTGATTCTTTATCCAACACCACTTTGTCTGTGCAAATCGGCCAAGCCGCTTCAAAATGAAGAACATTCGAAATTTGCTTCGTTAATGAATAAAGAACCTGAATAACTTTCAAGTGCAACATGATTCCAAGTAAGAATTGTGGAGAAGGACGCGCACTGTCTTCAGCAGCAGTTTATCAGCGATTCAAATCAAATTAATAATAAAACAAAAGGAAATGAGTTCAAATGAATCCGAGGAAGATATAAGGATTGCTTCAACATGCGAAGAAATAGGAGAAACGGAAACCAAGGTTCTGATCCATAACATCAATCTCAAAAGGGGAACCTGTGGAACCGTATGGAATCTATACAAATGTAGTCGTGGTACCACTTTTTTTAGGGATCATACAACCTGATGAATTCCCGCAAATTTTCAATCTACAGTTATTCGTCCGAGATTACTTCGAATTTGCAGCTTCGTTCATAGTTCATACACTCCTTTGTCTCAAAAACCGTACAAGCAGTGAGAGTAAAGGACCACGCGCACTCAATCGACCAAGATCGGTCGACTCGAAATGTTTTCGTGGTAGTACCTATTTTTGGGATCATACAATGTGATATATCCGCCATGACTTTGAATCTGCAGCTTCGTTCATACACTTTGGCTCAAAAACCGCACAAACACTGAAAGCAATCGGTGCAATCGGCAATGCCGAGAAGATCGCGCGATCAGTGCGCGCAATGCATTAAGTTACATGCATAGTAGAACGTGCCGACCGTGCCGAGCCGTTACCACCGATACAACAAGGCCAGCAGACTCTGACGTAAACAGCTCGTGACGTCGCCAAGAGAGGCCAGTGTTTTATTTCATCGCTTGTCGACTAACGCGTCAGTTCTTGTTAATTCATCGGTGATTCACGTATGTTTTTGAAACGGTCCCGAAATCTTTTGTTGTTTATTCATCAAAATAATTGGCGGAAATATTAATGTTTTGTGAAATATTTTGTGTTGTGATCGACGAAATAACAATGCCTTCCATGTTGTGTTCCCTTTTGTCGGGGGAATTATGTGGGTGGTTCAAGAGTTCATGCTTTTAGTTTCCCGTTGGACGAGGAGCTATCGAAAATGTGGGTAATTCACTGCGAGGATTTTACTCCATCTAAGTTCAGTAGTAAACAGAGCTTAATTTATAATGTTGAATTAATAATAGAAGACAATTACTCTCTCATAAAAAGTATAAGTAGAGGAAAAATAGAAAAGCTTTGATTGTGCAGTTAGTTTTGTATTCGTATATTATAGTCAACAAACTCATCTCTGAATTCGAGGAAATTTTCTTGAATGCTCATAATAAACGGGCATTTTTAATTCTCATTCTCAAATTTCTTTCTGAAAACGGTCATTTGCCTCGTGGCAATGAATGCAGAATTCATTCCAATGATCAAATTGCAACTATCATATTAACATGAACTACAAACACTCTACTTAAAAAGGTAAAACTGCATTTACCATGATATTTATCATGAAGATATTTTTTCACCTGTCTTCTGGATGGCATTTAGAACAAATTTCCCTTCTTTTTTCATCATATTGAGATTAATCCATATTTAGTGAAAAGAAGGAAGAATATCATTCAAAATAATGGCGTGTGTAATGTCATTCGAAAGCAATCTATTGACATTTGACATCTCGTATTTTGATTGACTATTGATTAAATGGTCGTCATCTGGAATGTTTGTTCACTAAATATGAAAAACTCGCCATAAAAATCATATTCCCTGTTGAATTTTCTATATGAAAATGTGCCTTCGAAGTACTTCATGAGTATATAAAGTGTCCAATGACAAAATAAGAGCAAGTAGCTTCAAATGCCCCCAACACAAGGGGAGAAAGAAGG